CGAAGACATTGAGATTAAAATTATATCGAAAATTTTGCGGCATGGAGAAAATACAAGAGACAAAAACAGAAACGATGGAATTATGTTAACAGGAAGAATGAAAACGCCATGAACAAGTTGAAGTTACCTCCTGAGCTTCGCTGAGCGGGGAGTGAGCTTTCAAAGTCAATTCCGTGCCCTAAATACTCCTTTCTGTTTTCTTATTGTTTCTGCTTTTTTTAATTTCAATAATTTTTGCCTGGAAAATTAAACATCTAAATATACCTTTTAGAAGTATTATTCTGTAAAACGAGACAAATTTTTACACATATTTAATTTGTATATCGTAAAAAAATACTTTTAAAATTATAGTTTTAATTCCATTCAAACACTTTTTAAAAACTTTTTTTTTTGTCTAAAAATCTCACTTGCCCTAAAATACTTCTAACATTGAACCTTGGGCTTTAAACTTATGGGTTTGGCAAGAGCTATAGACCTTTTTAAAATTTTTAATATTTTCATCCATTTTCAAATATGGGGAAGAAAAAATTTCATGAAATTTTTAATTGAAATAATAAATATTAACAAACTAAAATGTGAAACTCAGAAAAAAAGAATAATATTATGAGTTTAAACGAGACAGCTCCTTTTCATACATGGATGGCCCTTAGCAGACTCTTGCTCATAAGAATTGGACTTAGTTAGGCCCTCATTTTAAACAAGCTTAAAATTCATGCCCAATTCATTTTACCGGCTTTACCTTCAACCATGTAGGTTTCTTTTTTTAGCTTAAAAAAGGGCTCATTATATATTTATATTTTTAATATTTTGTATTCATTGATTAAATTTCTATGATAATTTTTATTAGAAAATAAATATTTTAAATAATCAATGTTATTTATTTTGGCCTCAAAGCTATAAATGTAATATATTCTTTTTGCCAACGGTATAGATTTAATAAATTGTAAGTTTATAAAATTTATTTGTACATCATTAAATATATTTTTAACACATATTATATAAATCATAAATGTAAAATTGTTTTTGTCAAAAATAAAATTTTTTTCAATTTTAATTTTGTAACTCAATTTCTTAATATGAAGAATATCAATAAAATAAATCTTTTTACAAGGCCTATAGTTTTTCAAGATATGGTGGAGTAGATTATAATTTTTTTGAGATAAAGTAGAATATAATTTTAAAATTACTAAGAAGATAGAAATGAAATAAACATAGGAGTTTGTAAAATTTTTAAGTAAAACAATTTAAAACTATACATATTATTAAAAAAAATTGGTTGGTCTTTTTCATTTAAAAAAAAGAAAGCACTGGCCCAATGGTTATTTAATGCGCAACTAATAAACAGCAAACTACGCCTAATAAACCCTAACAAAATTTACCAAATTTTATTCACCGGAAAAAAAATTTAGCTAATGCAGACTTGTTTGTTAAATATTTAAGAGTTAATATAACCTTTTGTCTTTCAAGTTTGACATTATCTTAGTTTTGGTCCCTTAAATTTTAAATTATAAGTTTTGATTTCTCAATTTTCCTTTTATTTATAATATTGGTCCCTATAATCTAATACACTTAAACTATTTTACCTCTTGAGGGAACAAAATTTATGATTTGAAATTTGATAGACTAAAACCAAAATAAAAAAAACTTAAGAAACTAAAAATTATATTAACCGCGTATATATTCATTCCCCCAAAAAATTTAAAACATCCTAGTTTTCGCCATAATGGTTAACGAGAGCAATTTCACTATTAGCAAACAAATATGACTAAGCTAACAAATTGAATAAAATAATTTCAAAGGCCAACACACAGGATTCAGCGTCATTACACAAAATTCAATTCTTCTTTCACTCGTTCTCAACAAATTTACATCAAGACCCCCATGCTCATTCCAAACTCCTAACGGTATAAAAAAGCCCACAAGCCTTTTCTCTAAGCTCACTTTCCGGGGACAAAGTTTGTGGCATAAGCCCAAACACTGTCGTTGACCGGGTCGGCAAGGTGGTCTGCAAGGTTCTCCAATAGGCCCTTTCCGGTTACAACGGCTTGAACAAAAAATCCAAACATTGAGAACATGGCCAATCTACTGTTTTTGATCTCCTTCACCTTCAACTCAGCAAAAGCCTCCGGGTCATCAGCCAAGCCCAATGGGTCAAAGCTTCTTCCAAGGTACAGTGGGTCAGTAACCTCACCAAGAGGCCCACCAGCGATACAGCAACCCTCAACGACTCCCATCAAGATCACTTGGCAGGCCCAGATGGCAAAGATACTCTGTGCATGAATCAAGCTGGGGTTGCCCAAGTAGTCAAGGCCACCCTTGCTAAACATTTGGGATCCAGCCTTGAACTATACAGCCTCACCGAACTTGACACCATTGCGGCCCAAGAGCTTAGGGAAGACACAGCCCAAAGCTCCGAGCATGGCCTACCTAGTGTGGATTACTTCAAACTCACGATTCCTAGCGAGGGTCTCTAGGTTAGCAGAGAGCCTAATAGTGTCCCAACCGGTCAAGTAGGATGGGGGCTCAATGGAGAATGGGCCCAAGTACTTGACATGGTCTAGGCCATACCAGGGGCTTCCAAAGGTGGTGGGCTTGCTAACAGTTTTCCTTATAGAGAGCCATCTAGTCTCGATAACAAAAGGGGAGACCTTCACTTTAGTGCCGACAAAACATGGAGATGAAAGAGCCATGGTGGAGGCAGCCATGGTTGAGATAGAGAATTGTTGAGGTGGGCTTTTATGTGGTGATGATTGAGACTAGGAAGAAATGAAGGAGATGGGTAGGCTTTTATATTGAATGAAGAGATGGGCCTCTTATTAGAGCTAGTAATACAGGCTGGTAGTACGGATACGGGCCGCTATAGGCTGAAGTAGCCCGCACCTTGGCGGGTTGGCAAAATGCCAGCTCGAGCCCGTCGGCCTGCCTAAATTTTTTCTAAAAAAATTATTATTATTTGTATAGGTTTAGCTTAGTTTGAAATATTGAAATTAGACTTGAAGTTTTAAATTTGAATAGTGGGTTATAATAAAATAATGTGAGGATTAATTTATAATTTGAGAAGACATTTTAGGAAAAACTAACACATATTTTTTCTAAATAATTAATTTGACTATTTTTCTCATTCAAATTAATTAAGAAGATCTTTTACGTGTATATTACATATGTAACTGCATGAATGATGAGATGTTAATGTGAAATTTGAGAGTCAAAATCCTCTAACTATGTTGAATAATATATTGAGAATTGTATAAAAATAAAAATTTAAAAAAAAGAAAAAGAAAAGAAAAGTAGGCTAGCTTGCCAACCCATGGGCTGGACTGCATCTTGGAGGCTTGCCATTTTGCCACACCGCCTCTACCTCTTATCTCCTTTCTATCTAAATCTTCATTCTCATTGGATGTTCAAGATTTCCATGCTCCATCTCTCGGCCTATCTGGCACTCTCTCGTCCACTAATGGCAAATAGTGTTAGCCAATGAGATCAAGCCACGTGTTAGTTTGATTGTGGTACCATTTTTCTCCTCTCGTATTTGAAATCTGAATTAATCGAAATGATAATTCAGTTTTCCATTATCATCTATATGCCTTTCAGAATTAAATAGATGAATTTAATTTTCCACTCATGTGATAGAACTCTATATTTATCATTTTAAAAATTGGTCAAAAACATAAAGAAGACGGTAAAAATTAAATTAAAAAAAAATACATATACATATATGCTCTCTCGAATTGGAGAAGAAGCAAATTTGATGGGTTGATTATTCTGAGAAACGAAGTGGAATAGAGAGTTCTAATTCGAATAGTTTGTTTGTGAGAGTGGACAAACTTTTAGCAAGTCAAATATTAAAATCTGAAAACAACCTGTGAAAGAAGCAAACTAAGTCTTAATTGATGGTTACAGAAATGAAATGAAAGGTATTTTTTTAAAAAATGAAATCCAAATATTGTGGTTGTAATAACTTAAGAGTATGATTGCGACAAAAAATTTATAAAATTGGACTAATTCTTGAAGGAGGCTTTGGAATACGCCTTCAAACTTCTTGCATAGTTAAAACTGCCACATATTTAGCTTATGAGTGGATCACAATGCAAGAAGCAATATTAAGGAGGTGTTCATTTTATTTTATTTTTTAAAATTTTGTAATACATGGCACAAACATTATCATAATATATAAGATATTTGAAGGTCAAGTTTCTGCAAAAATATTTTTAAAACCAACCAATCAAAACTCCTATTGTGGTTGAATTAGTTATAATTAAATAACAATATAACTTTATACAATTACTTCCTACTTAGTATATTATCATGTCACATTTAAACATGGTCAAATTATGACTCCCTGTATCTTAAATTGTCTTGAAGGTTCATAGTCCTTTTTTATAGAATATTTTTTTAGTCTTCTAAACATTTGAATTTTCATCGTTTCCAAACAAATATTTTAATTTTTTAGACCTAAACTATAGAATTTATAGGATGCTCTATATATATATATATATATATATATTTTGTTAGATACAAATATTCTTTGTTAAAAATAATTCTATTCAAAACACTGTTCGATATTAAATCTGAATGTCTTTCTTAATAAAAATTTAAATATTAATTTGTTATAAATAGAATAGTCTTTATCAACCTCACTTTGTGTGGTCCATTCTGAACAGAGCATTCTCATCCATATGTACCCTTTGCATCAGCTCCAACACAAAAGCTTTTTTGTCCCTTCTACCCTGTGAAACTTGATATTTTTACGTAACGTTTCATTACAATTAAATTTTAAAATAAAAACAGAATCAGAATATTTTCACAAATGATATTATTTTTAAAAATGTATTTATAACTGGTTTGTAATTAAATTTTTGAATCTAGAGAGTAATTCTATTCTTTTCACTAAAAATATGCTTATCTTCTCAAAGTCGGAACTCAATTGAGATTTCTCAGGGTTAATGTGCAGCTTCAGGACAGCACGCAAAGATAATTAAACTTGAAAACTGAACACAATAAAATCAAACAATTTTATGGATTGAACATCATTACACAAAATTCCAAGTCATTCTTTCACTAGCTCTCAACAAATTTACATCACCACTCTCAGATCCAAATGTAAGAAGGGAATAACGCCCATCATTTTTCTCCCTAATCAAAGCTCACTTTCCAGGGACGAAGTTTGTGGCATAGGCCCAAGCATTGTTGTTGACTGGGTCAGCAAGGTGGTCTGCAAGGTTCTCCAATGGGCCCTTTCCGGTAACAATAGCCTGAACAAAGAATCCAAACATGGAGAACATAGCCAACCTACCATTTTTGATCTCCTTCACCTTCAACTCAGCAAAGGCCTCGGGGTCATCAGCCAAGCCCAATGGGTCAAAGCTTCCACCGGGGTAGAGTGGGTCAGTAACCTCACCAAGAGGCCCACCAGCAATACGGAAACCCTCAACAGCTCCCATCAAGATCACTTGGCAAGCCCAGATGGCAAGGATGCTTTGTGCATGGATCAAGCTTGGGTTGCCCAAGTAGTCAAGCCCACCCTCACTGAAGATCTGGGATCCGGCCTTGAACCATACAGCCTCACCGAATTTGACACCGTTGCGAGCCAAGAGCTCAGGGAAGACACATCCCAGAGCTCCGAGCATGGCCCACCTGGCGTGGATGACCTCAAGCTCACGGTTCCTAGCAAAGGTCTCTGGGTCAGCAGAGAGCCCGGCGGTGTCCCAGCCATAATCACCAGGAAACTCACCAGTCAAGTAGGATGGGGGCTCACCGGAGAATGGACCCAAGTACTTGACACGGTCAGGCCCGTACCATGGGCTTCCAGAAGAAACAGGCTTGGTAACAGTCTTCCTCATGGAGATACGACCAGTCTCGGTGGCAGTTGGAGCAAGCGGAACAGCCTTGCCGGCAAAAGATGGGGAGGAAAGAGCCATAGTAGAGGCAGCCATGGTGAAGAACTGATAAGAACCGTCAAGGTGGGCTTCCTTGTGATGATAGACGAGAAGGGTGAAAGAATTGAAGAAGCTGGATGGGCTTTTATAGTGGATGAAGTGGTTGACGATCTTATCTTAGGGGCATCAAAATCATCACCCTCATTGGCAGTCACAAGATTTTGAGATTTTATTTCTCAACCTATCTGGCACCCTCTCATCCACCAAAGTGTAAGGCTGAGAACCAATAGAAGCAATCCACGTGTAAGTTTAGATTCCGATCACGTGTCTCACTACAGTTTTAAAAATCAGATATCCGAGTCAAAGAAATTATAATTTGGTTTGGAAGTATCTTCTTCATCTTAAAATTATCAACTGGTGTTTACAGAAGTGAAGATATTTTATGAGTTGAAATCTGAAATGTGGTGGTCGTAATAACTTGGAAATCAGATGATGGGACCTAATAAAAGATTACAAACACTCCTTCAATGTTGCCAGATATTTTGTTTTCTGATAGAGCCACACTGCATTGCAACGGGGCAATCTATGGTCGAGCTTATTTTTGCAAAGGGAAACGATACGACCTATGCTGGCTTTTTGAAATTTCCAGAAAATCATACTACTAATAACTTGTGAAAATGAATGATGGAACTTATTTTATCAAAAACCATGCGAAGAAAAGAACTTAGATATACTTAATTTATTTTAGGGAGGGCACCCTTTCAAATTAGTTTAGCTAGTAAATTAGTTCGTTTTCAACTTATTAAAATTATAGCGGATTTTTTATCAATTAAAATTATAGGTTAAAATATGGGTAATTTTAGATTTGAGATTATGTTTTTAACATTTACGATATTTCCCAACTCACAGTTAAAAACTAATTCCTTTCAGCTGTAGAGATTACAAAAGTGAGTTTTACTTTCTTTTTTTTCTTCTTTTTTTTAACAAAGTCTTATCCATACATATGGTTAGGATCAAATTTGAGACAATATATCTAACTATCTACCAACCATGTGAGACTTTGTTTGGTTGACACGATTTTTTGTTTGGTTTATTAGAGTCATGATAATTTAATTAATTCAATTCACTAGATTTTATATTAAAGATCATAGGAGTAATATGAAAATGATAAATAATTGATTGTATTAAATTGCGGATTGGGAAACGTTTTAATATAATTATATTCTAAATAGAATTTATAACCATTCACAGCCAGTGTAGCCTGCTTCCTTGATATCTATCTAATCATATTATAAATTGGACTTCATTCTCGTGAATGATAACAATTTGGGAGAACGTGATTCACATTTTAAAAAAAGAGTACAGAATCGACAAATTTCGAGGAAAAATATACAAGAGTAAAAACATCATTAATGTCTGTGTGACTAGTAAAGAAGAGAATGCTGGGGGGAAAAAAGACTAGTAAAGGAGAGAATGGTTAGAACTTAGAAGAAGAAAAAGCAACGGAGAGGTGAAACGAAAAAACGTATAGATTTTTTTTGATAATATTGCCGGCTATCTGGCTTATTCACAATTTATTGCACTGGGCCCTTGCATGTAGATTTTCCACGGATTTATTTACCTTTCCCGTTGTTACCACAGGTGGTCCAATTTGCATGGAGCATTCTCATCCACAGGTACAGTTTGTATGTTAGCCAACTAGACAAAAGCTTTCTTGAGTATTTCTAGGCAATTAAACTTGCTATTCTTTACCAACGGAGTTAACAGAAGAGCTACTTCCTCATAATATGGCGAACTAAAATTTGAATTCCCATTGAGAGAGGTATCTACATTTAGTTTTAGTGTCCGATAGTACCTCAAATAGAATTATTTCCAAGAGGAGGATACTTATACTTTAGCCAGAAAAAAAAACTTGATAGTTTTTGTTACCCAAAACACTTGATATTTTTACAGCAACTTATTAACTTCGTTTTTGCAGATATAGTCCTCTATCCAGATGAACAAATGGCAGTGTTTTATTGGATGAAGCAAGCACTTTTGATATTGCTCAAGATATTTGATCGGAGAAAACAATCCAGATATGATAAGTGGACCAAGAAAATCCATCCTTGCACAACAGAACGATGGAAATTTGGACATTGGATCTCATATATGATAAGTGGACCAAGAAAATCCATCCTTGCACAACAGAACGATGGAAATTTGGACATTGGATCTCATATATGATAAGTGGACCAAGAAAATCCATCATCTCACAACAGGACGATAGAAATTTGGACATTGGATCTCATAAGAAAATGACATCTCCCCATTTCAAGCTATATAAAGACCATCTAAGCCCAATGTTTGCATCAATTACCAGTTCAAACTCGATTTAAAGTTCTTTTCTTGAACTATTCTGTCATTTTAGAACCACAACTGAAATTTGAAAATGGCTGCTTCAACAATGGCTCTCTCATCTTCATCATTAGTTGGGCAGGCAGTGAAACTAGCTCCCTACACCCCTGAGCTTGGAGTCGGAAGAATCACCATGAGGAAAACAGCCACCAAGCCTGTTTCCTCTGGAAGCCCATGGTACGGCCCAGATCGTGTCAAGTACTTGGGCCCATTCTCTGGTGAGCCCCCCTCCTACTTGACTGGTGAGTTCCCAGGTGACTACGGTTGGGACACTGCAGGGCTCTCTGCTGACCCAGAGACCTTTGCTAGGAATCGTGAGCTTGAAGTCATCCATGCTAGGTGGGCCATGCTTGGAGCTTTGGGATGTGTCTTCCCTGAGCTGTTAGCCCGTAATGGTGTCAAATTTGGTGAGGCTGTGTGGTTCAAGGCTGGATCCCAAATCTTTAGTGAGGGTGGGCTTGACTACTTGGGCAACCCAAGCCTGATTCATGCACAAAGCATTCTTGCCATCTGGGCTTGCCAAGTGATCTTGATGGGTGCTGTGGAGGGTTACCGTATTGCTGGTGGACCTCTTGGAGAGGTGACCGACCCACTTTATCCCGGGGGAAGCTTTGACCCACTGGGCTTAGCTGATGACCCAGAGGCTTTTGCTGAGTTGAAGGTGAAGGAGATTAAGAATGGAAGATTGGCCATGTTCTCGATGTTTGGATTCTTTGTTCAAGCCATTGTGACCGGAAAGGGCCCATTGGAAAACCTCACAGATCACCTTGCTGACCCAGTGAACAACAATGCTTGGGCCTACGCCACAAACTTTGTTCCCGGGAAGTGAACAAAACATGTACTACATTATCATTACTGAGAGCAAAGAAAACGCACCAGAGTTAATGAGAATGATTTATGATTTGCAGAAGGGTCTAGTAGGACATGTATCGAAATCTGTTTCTGCCGAAAATATGAATTATATGAATGAATTTACCTTCTATTACCTCGGGTTGAATGAGACCTTCCAACATTTGCAATTTTTACCCTCTTACTGTTTACTGTCTAGCCCTTGCTAAGTGATCAGACAATTAAATTTGAAACACGGAACAGTTATCAGTTCGCCTTTCAAATCACATACAAGATTTACCCATCTATTTTGATTCTTTTGAATCTCAGCTTGTACAGTTCTAATTCTTCAAATGATCAATGAGAATACATCCTAAATGCATCATAATCTCCAGTAGCGTACTTTGAGTTGTACAATGACAAATGCAGATCAGTCCTAAAGACATCTTAGAGACTGGTGCCAACTAGGCAAGTCAAACATGAGGAAACAAACAGCTTTGGACCTTGTTGAAATAAGCACAAGATGAGAACTGAATGCACAGGCAGAATATCAGCTGTGTATTTCCAATCAGTTATTGGGAATATGGATGATTTAAAGAACTCCACTATCCACATGACAAAGTAATTTTCAATCTTCTTGATTATTCTTTCATGCCCAAGTCTCAAGTCCGTCACCTCTTATCCTCTGAAATGTCAAAAAACAAACACTACCACTTACTGCAGAGAATCCCAAAAAATGGCTAATAATCTGCTGCAAGTTTTCTCTATCTCCCCAAAGGAGCGCCAAGCCATTATTAGTTTTAGTGTTAATAGAGGTCCATCTTATGCTGGTTCATACAGGCCCAAAACGTGCCCATCAATACACCTCATTGCAGCAACCTGCGCACAAGCAAATCATATCAGACAATCATTGGTTCTAAGCCTATTGAAATATAAGGCATTATATATTAAACGATCATCACCTTTCCATGGATCTCATGTTTTACAGGACCATCTAGCTCAGCTCCTAATGACATTAATTTAGTCACTGTGGTGTTGATGTCAGTAACCGTAAATGATAGCAGCGAGGAGTATCCCTTCTGCAAGCCATGGTCACTGTGAAAGTAAATTAGCATCTTAAAAACCAGATAACGTGGCTAACCCCACAGAAATAAAAGGTAGGACTATTTACCCAAAATTTTAGCCCAAAAGAAGTAAATGTCATCGTTTGATACCAATTACCAAAAATAATAAAACTGATGCCTAATTCTGCTTGCATGTAGAATTAGAATTAATACAATAGCTTCCATGTCAAATAAATAATCCTAGAATACAGACTTTTTTGCATATCTCAAGCCATGTCACAACGGGAAAAACAATTTCATCTCCCCAGGCATCATTCAAACAAAGCTAGCGAGCAAACAGAAAATTCATCCAGACAACCAAGGCCAGAATCGATGGCATTTGAATGGGTATGAAGCTCATCCTTCTGGCGTGGTTGAATAAATCAATTGCATTATCAACCCTATTGACAAGCATCGTTAAGGGGCAAAAATGAAGACAGAAATGATCAACCGGATCATGATCATCTACTACTATCTTAGAGAAAATATTCAGCACGAACTTTATTCAATATACTTCCTATTAAAAGTATAAACAAGGCTCTTTTCCTTGGCCAGAAAACGCAGCTAAGATGAAGCATGAATCCTAAATTAGTGGTGACAGCCAAAATTCCTCTAAAGGGGGGAAGCTCTGCTGTCTTATCAATTCAATTTTTCTGAGTTTTCCCGCAATACCATTTTTGCATTTCCAAATGAGAAATGAACAAAGATCAAACACCAGATTAAGCATTAACATGTGGGCATATGAATCCCCATTGATCAGTGAAATATTTCGTGTCAATTCTTGTAAAATGAGGTTCGCAACATTAAATTCTTTCTAATTAGGGAAGCATTATCTAGTAAACGAAATCTGGGCACCCTTCAATTTATTAGAGAATAAAACAAGCAACAAACTTTCACCAAACTAGTGGCATTTATCAGCTGCTCACCTCACAAATTTCTCTTCATTCTTTTGGCATTATAATCTTACACCGAATATAATAAAGTTTATCTATAGGATGAACTACGATTTTCTCTTGGCAGTCTATAAATCAACATTAAATCAAACAGGTAGAACGCATCAGATAAGGAAACAGGCGAGTGAGGCGATTAAAGATACATACTTGGGAGAATGCAAGAGGGCAAGCTTGAGGGAACCGGAGCGAAGTTCAGCCCAACGAAGAGTGCAGACGTCGACAGTGAAGTCCAAGCCTTCCGCGTAGAATCTAGCAGCTTTGGGAACGTCCTTGTGAAGTTGTAAAATCCACCTAAACGACGCCGCCATAAAGGAGTCTGCCGACGCCTTCGATTTCACCTGCCGGAGGATGACAGTCAACAGCGGCTAATCACCGGCGAACCCCTCACACACTCCTAAGGCGTTCAGGCGAACTAATCTCTCACAAACATTTGTTGTTTTCTGTTGGTCTGAAATCATTCATTCACTAATATTTGGAACCGAAAATTGGGAATTTTCCTCGAGCCAAATTCAGGGTTATTTCTATTAAGCACCACTCTTTTAAATCCACGCTAAAAAAGTGTTTGGGCAGTCTAAAAATTACTTTTCAAAAGTTTTTTTTTTAAATTGAGATAAATTTTTTTATATATTTATTTCGTATATTGTAAAAATATTCTTAAAATTATGATTTTGATTTTATTTAAATATCTTCATATATTTCGTAAGTACAATGAATACATGAGATTGATTGGAGGATAGGAGAAAAAGTTCTAAAATTAGGTCAAAAGATCAGTCATTTATACAATACAAGTTTATAAATTTATCGGTCAATTTTCAATATTTTTCATTGAAATAATATAAATTGAAAATTTCAATCATATGTACTGTTATTTATTACTCATATGCTATAAATTTTAAAGTAAACCAGTACTTGTAATTATTGTAAGTTGTAACAATAGAAGAAGAAAAAATGGGTTTCAGAATTTTTTTCCTCAATGTTATGTAAGACACGTATGATTGGAGAGCAAAAATTACTGAGAACCCATAAATAAATTCTCATTATAATCATTGTGTTATTGTTGGTCAAAAAAACGGGTGGGAAAACGAAATGCAACCGCCACCGTCTCTGCATTCGAATTTCTTCTCTTCTCTGAGACAGGTGCGTCAATCTTTGAAATTTCAGTATTCCCTTCTTCTACTTACCTGAGTTCTAATTCCTAATCCATCAATCATCAGGTCGAGAAGAGACTGAAACTCGAACATCCGCCGCCGCTTCCGGCTCCGGCTCCGACAAAGTCGCAAACACAAGACGGCAACTACTCTTCGCTAGGGTCACTAAGCTCTCCTATGTTCCTCCACCTCGATCAACCCATCGCTAGTTCTTCTAGCGACCCATGTGGTAGCGAACCGCCTCGAGCTTTCCTATCTATTTCCCCGGATTTCCCATTACCCGACCAACAACACCCACCTCACTCAAGCCCTTCAGATCGCCGCAGACCTGAAATTGAAGCTGAGGATGATGAAATTGACGAGATCGAACAGTTAATGCGGTTATTGGGGTTACCGGAAGAGGGGGATGAGGAAGAAGGTGGTAATGATTGTAATTCCTGTCACTGTGAGGGTGGGTTTTACTCAAAGATTGCGGGAATGAAGGGGCCAAAGTGTAAGAAGGAGATGAAGAGGCTAGATGGGTGGATTAAGTACTTTCGAGAGGAGAAGAAAGAGCCTTTGAGGTTGGCACATTTGCTTCTGGGCAAACGTGTTTTTCTTTCTGAAGGTGGTGATGATGATGATCATGGTTTTGGAGGCTTGGAGTTTCCTTCAACTGTACAGGAATTTCTTCACACAGACCCACCTGATTGAGGCAATCACCCTCTCTCATTTACTCGATTGAATTAATGAGCCCTGTTAAACTTGTTCTATGTTTTGTGTCAATTTGCTTATTTGAGTCTGATTAGCGATCGAATTGTTGGAAGTGCCCTGGGTGATCCTTAGGCTCCCCATTTTTACATCTGCCACAACTCAATTTACAAATGTATATGATCTTGATCTGTGATTTTTCTGAACTTGATTTGTATATTGTCAATTTGTCATCGTTGCGTTGAACTTTTTGTAGTTTTGTGCTTAGTTCATTAAGAATTGGTCTGATTGATAAAAATCGAATGCCATTTCTGAAGAAGAGAAAAAGAAAATTATTTAAATTGACAGCTGTGGGATTTGAACCCACGCCCTTTCGGACCAGAGCCTAAATCTGGCGCCTTAGACCACTCGGCCAAACTGTCAGATGAAGCAGGCAGTCGATTGTCAAATTCATATTCATATGAAAAAGAGCTCCGCTTATTTCTTATAATTTCATTTAAATTTTATAATTGTGAATCTGCAATTAATTACCTACCATTTATGAAAATTTCAGTGTGTTTGCTATTGTTTCAATTTTCTAAGTGTTGGTTTAACTTTTCAATGGATATAACGATATATATATTTTAATATTTAAAAAAATAAATGAAATTAACTTTTCTCTGTTTTTTCTTTTGGCACATTATGGACCCTTATAGACCACCCTCTCCCAATTTGTTTTCTTCAATTTCTTTTTATATTGAAAATCCAGTTAACCATTATCATATGAATAAAGAAAGAAGAAGACATTAACACAATAGTCAAGAAAAACCATATATATGTGCAGGACTTCCTTTAAAACTGAAGCCAATGAGAAATAGCAACCCATCACAGCAAATAATCAGTAACCATAATGACCAAGTTTTCTGACTATTTTGAGTGAACGGAGGAATGATCATTACTTAAAAAATAATCAGCCATGGGAATAAAAAAAATGGCTGCAAAAAATTATGCATAATTACGAAATTAGGGGAGGAGAAATAAAAAATCAAGCGCTACTCCTATTAGAAAGAAGAAACTTTAATTTTTTTTTTGTAGGTATAAGTATTGATGCACTATCAAACACTAAATATAGGCACCTTTCTTAATGGGGATTCAAACATTAGTTCATCATGTTATGAAGAACTAGTATCTTCTGCTGGATCCAACGCCTGTTGATAAAGAAACTTCAAATTTAAAACTTGAATAGTATGTTTAGCGAGCCACAAGCTCTCTTCGGTTCCATTATCTTGCAACAATAACCACAAAAAACATAATAGAGGGGACAAATTGAACTACATATATAAACATGGGCAAAAAAGAAGGAAAAAAATAATAATAATAAGAAGATTGGGTTTAGCGAAAAGGATTAGTCTTTTACAATATGATGAATTAAGGCTCGAATCTTCATTGGGAGAGATATCTAAATTTAGTATATGACAGTACCTCAAATAAGAGATACCTATAGGGGGGGGGGAGCAAATAAGAGGGGGTGACAATGAAGCCCTGAAAAAAATGATTGTGGTATGTTTTAAAATTGATCATGTGCGTATTTCTTCGAAGTTCCACATCTCAAGCCTTAATCCATTTCGGTTCATCTTCTACTCAAATTAGAGTGTACGAGGAGTACTTCTGAGGATTAAATTTGACAGATTTGGATAATCTTAAATAAAACGTAACTTTTAATGCTATTTATAACGTAACGTTCATCAAATCAAGATACATTTGAACTATATGCATGTATGGAAGCTTTGAACTTCTTCACAATGCGTTTTAACTTCCTTTCCACGCTGTTTTCCAATTGATTTCAAACATAAATGACTCAATAAATTCCAACAAATTTATTCCTTTTTTCTCTCGTCAGAATTAATAATTTTCGTGTATATATACACACACACGCACGCATACCTTGACCTTTCGATCAGCATCACACACTGAAGTAAAGTAACAGCTCAATCTATTTGTTCAGTGAAGAGAAAAAAGAACCGCTTGGTTTCTGCACTCTTGAACTTCTCAAGCAATCAAATCATCACAGACACCATGGATAGATCAAGTGGCTCACTTCATCTTCTCTTTCTTTTACTTCTTATCGTCTCTTTCAGCTATGGTAAGTATACAGTTAATGGGTGGCTTTAGATTACTGTCCCATAGAAAGTTTATTTGTAATTGCTTTTGGTTTCAGAATCTTCTGTTTTTCGTTCAGACTAATCCTGGATATTATCTTCCAAAACTTAATCCGGAACCGGACTGGTTCTCTAGCTTTTTAGGTAGAATCTAGTATAAACCATTTGTGAAATCCGAATAAGTTAACACTCGTATAATTAGAAATCAGATCAAATCTTGTAGTGTGGCCTTGTGTTTTGACGACTAGGAAATTCTTATTTCACAAACACATACAGATCCTGTCATTATTGACCATGAATTTACTTATATATTGTGCAGGAGGAAACTTGAAGGTGGCGAAAGGACTGGTAAGAAAAACTGAAGCTTGTTTTGAATATTAATTAAAAAGAGTCATTGAAACATGAAACATAATGCTTGTAGCAAGTCTTGTAGATTTGTGATGTTGATGGATGAATGTTATTGCAGGAATATGAGAAGACGTGGTGCGTGGCGAAGCCTTCAGCGAGCGAAGCAGAACTGAAATCAAACATAGAATACGCATGCAACCAGTTGGGAGACTGCAAGAGGATAGAAGAAGGAGGGCCATGTTATGAACCAAGCACAGTTCTGAACCATGCTTCTGCTGTTATGAATCAGTACTACGTCTTTGCGGGAAGGCATTCTTGGAACTGTGGATTCCGTGGCTCTGCTCTTCTTGTTGTCACTGATCCTAGTAAGATTCAGAGAACAAGACATTATTATACATGTTTGATTGAGGCGTTTTGGATTATGTTATTCAATTCGATATGTGATTTTTGGGTTTGATTTGATCTTTTGCAGGTTACGGAGACTGCAAATATGAGTAGTTGAGGACACTGATTGCGTTGGAGTCTCTTTTATATTATTGTTGCTATTTCATGTTGATTTCCCGTTAGTTTGTGATGCGATCTGGATTTGAAGTCGGAATAGTGATGTTTACGTTTTTTGTTAATTAGAATTGAAAATTTGAAACTATGGATTTTTATTTTATATATTGTCAGGCGATGTCATGCTTTAGGTTCGAAGCCAAAAAATGATCGTCGAAGTGAAAAGGACAAAAGTTAAATAGGCTAAATGGGGCATTCCGAGAATTGAACTCGGGACCTCTCGCACCCTAAGCGAGAATCATACCACTAGACCAAATGCCCGATGCTCAGCGGCTGCTTGAGACAAATAGTTCATACAAATTCAACTGAGAAAACCGCCTACACCCCCAAATTGATGATATACGTTAACATAAAAATTAACTGTAAGCAACTATTACAAGTATACATACATACTCCCATATATATTAAATACAATTATGTATACTGACTTAAAATAATTGAATAGGTTTGATAAAATTCTGAATTAAACGGATCTAGTGAATGTGTCTATATTGTTGTTTAAATTTAGCAATTTAAATCTATTTATTCGCTTTTCCATAACTTAACATTTATTATTATACTCCCTCCGTTCCTTATAAGAGACGAATAACCGAATTACGTTGATAAAAAAAACAGTTAAAATTAGTTAAGAACAATCAATGTGTAAAAAGTATAATTTTTTTTCCAAAAATACCCTCATTAATAAGGAGAGAGAGTATGAGAGAGAACAATAGTAAATTAAAAAAAGAGAAGTGGAAGGAGAGAGAGTGTGAGTTGGAGACAATAAATATGGATAAAATAAGAAATCAATACAAAAAAGTAGAGACAACTTTTAAGTGTCTCTTATATATAAGAACATGCCATAAGCATCAAATGTCTCTTATAATAAAGAACGGAGGGAGTACATCGGAACAACGGAATCCAAATCCAACAGCAGAGATGACGTGTGGCAACTGGGAAAGCCTATAAGCAGCGAAGAAAAAGAACACAATTAATGCGTTTAAATACAATAATTAATGCATTTTAATGCATTAAAGGTTCATTGCATAATTGCGATTCATTCATGAATAAATGCCCCATTTAGTAACCTACTTACATCCTTATTTATTGAGAAAACCCAGTTCTGAGTCACATAACTCAGACTACCGCAGAATAGAATTGCTTAGAAAACAAGAATCAGCCTGATGATGAGTCCTCTTGCTCAATTGTGTACAATTGTTCTATCTCTGCTGTGTCTGTGCTCTCTCCTAGGTATGTTAGATCAATTCTCATCAATATTTTTAAAGGGATTCTTATTTTAATTAATTTGAAATCTCTAATGCTTTAAATAAAAAAAAAGCTGCAACCAATCCCTGATTTCAAAATGATGGTGCAGGAGTAATTTGCCTGCCAGTTAATGGAGAGGCAATGATACCAAATAATGGAATTTCACCTGCGGTTGACTATGGGCCTATTGGGCCTGTAGGAAGCTATTCCAGCCCAAACTCAAAGCCCCAACGGGGCTCCTTTGCCCTCATTGCTGCTACTGCTGATCCAAGTATCTCTCTTCCTTCATTTCCTATTTGTCTGTTTATTTTTTGTATATTATCCACTCCCTTTTATTCAAAATACAAGCATCAAATAATTGATGCGCTCAAAAAGTTGGTTAAAATTAGTTAAAGATAATAAATACATTAAAAAATGTAAATTTTTTTTTTTTAAAAATCTTACTTGTAGAAATGCCAAGTGGGAGAGAGAGACGAGAGATTGAATACAAAATGATATGAAAGAGACATATAATTAATTAGATATAAAAATAAAAAATTATTAAATAAGCAGACAAATTCAATTCAAATTAGAACTTGTGAAGAAAAAAAAACCAGACCACTTCAAAGGTTATTTGAAACTTATGCTTTGAAGGTTCAACATTTTTACTGAAGATTTGCGCTAGTGGCATGTTTTCACAAATGGTGCCACCAATTCCAAAAAAAAAAAGCGTTTTTTCAACGAGGTTTTAACACGGGTTGTTGTGAGAACATTAACTGATAATATAATCCTACTCTCATATTCTTTTGCTTATTTTGTTTGCAGGTGAAGCTCCAGTACCAGTAAACGTAAGCAAAATAATTGCTTAACATATAAGCTAGCTAATATACTATAAATGTACCCTCATAATTAATGAAGTTATATATATCATATATTTT